GGGTTCATTGGTATATTTGAAAAACCTCGGCGTTCACGCTTGCACGGCTTGGGAGCGAGTGGGGGTTCACAGGTAAGCGTCCTCCTGTATTTTGTTTTAATATCCAGATCTAACAACAAAGAAAAGACGCCTTGCTCAGTGACAATCAGATCAGGCATTATTGAGGGTTGGCTATCATTGGTCACTTCAAAGTTACCCGAAGCATTGTCAGCGTCCGTAAAAACAGAATGGAAGAAATTATTGAATATGCATGCCATTTCTGCTGGCTCAGCACTAATTTGGTGATCCACGGTGACAATCTATTTTATCTCTGGACGATACCAGATGGCGCCAAAACTTCCGCGGCGAACTTCTCATGAATTAAAGCACTACTTCTGAAAAATATTTTAGTTCTGCGTTACTAGGTTTATCTTTTTTTGTGTGCGATATTTCTGACAAAACGTTATAATTAGCCAATTTTTTTATTTCGCCTTGTAGCGATCTTGCGCTTGAGTTGGATTATTTCGCGTGCTACCCAAGGGTTTTGCTTTGCCACCCGCTTGGTCCTCTCAGAAACAAACTTCGTTTTACAGTGGTGAATCACGGTATTGAATTGTTGCCATTATAATTAGACGTCACTTACGTCCGCAAGCATATCTAAGGAGATATCTAGGTAATCGATAATGCTTACATCGTCTGCTCTATCACTCTCGGATGCTCACGGATGCCTTGACGAAATTGATGCTCAACAGTACGAGCGTCTGACAGTCACTCAGAAACACTGGTCTCGTAGCTCCGCAACTGATTAGGAATGAACACGAAGTCGAGTAACTAACTTGTCGGTCCAATTATTCTAGTCGGTTCATTGACCACCTGCGTCAAACCATTGCAAAATGCGATGTCCAGCAGCAACTCGCAGCTTTTATTTTCTACCGCGGACCAGTCTCAAAGCCTTCCCAGTTTATTCCTAGTAAATTAAAATCACTTGCAATTATTATCTTTTGTCAGTCGGTAACGTTTACGCTAACGTAGCCGAAAATTGGTTCTATATACGAAATCGGAGAGTCTGGGGGCCTGTACACAGCGCCAATTGTAAATAAAGCCTCGTTGAACCACATCTGGCACTAAAGACTTTGTGTTGGAATATTGAGGCATTAATATGCAGTCTAAATGTGTTTTTTTTTTTAGGACAATTGCAACTTCTCCACCATGGTGAGAGCAGTTCACAGCCTTGAAAGTTGTAATGGAGCCAAGTCTCGGTTGCCAGTGCGACGTGTGGATTATGAAGTATCAGTAAATGCTCTAGCTTAGGGACTTTATTGGCGAGGCTTCTGGAATTAACAATAACCAGGCGCAAGCCTTTTGCTTGCAACTGTTGTTGTTGTCACATATTTTTTTTTCTGTTCGTCTTAGAACCGCGCGTGCTCGACACTTTTACCTTGCGTCCGCCGGAGTCGTTCAAATAAAAAGTATCGCCATTGACCTGAACCTCTTTCCGTGTATTACACGCGACTTGTTAGCTCTCTCTGTACTCGTACTGGCCTAAAGATGATTTCGTTTATTCGAAGTGTCCTGAAAATAGTAACTGGAAATAGAAATTTTGGTGCCTTTAATTTTTTAGCAGTTGCGAAACACCTCGACTTTTAGGTTGTAGTCGAACAATTTTAAGAAAATCAACCTAGTTTTGCCGTCGGAACGTTTCCCAACTTGTGAATACGTTCGAGCGTCTTGACAGTCACACCCAGCTTGTTTAGAAAGAGGACGGTGACCACTCTATAGTTGTGACTTCGTCATCAGTTTCGTTTTGTGCCTCATGAATACCAAACACTATTAAATTTTTGTCTACCCTTGTCTTCAAGGTCAACTAACTTCTCATGGTGCAGCCGGATGAACCTTCTTCAAGTAAGCTTCTGCTAATGCGCACACCCCCTCCCCTGGCTTTGCTTCCCGCTGTCTCCATTTTCGCAGGGCACCATCCCGCTCGAACAACATTTCTTTCCTATCTTTCCGCGCATATCGTCTCTTTTGAAGATCCTTTTCCTGGGTATCGGTAGCATGGGGCATAAACAGCAATGAAAAGCGATAGAACGGCACGATGTCAATGTGTTTTGACGAGCGGAGTCCGTTGGGCTGCCCTTCATTTGTAGTTCGCGGACAAACCGCCACGTGGTGCTCGTTACTCAAAGAAGGTGTTGCACTATCTGCTTATTGCTTGCTTGTAGGTCATATAGGGCAGCCTCGAGCTTAGCGCTTTTCTCCGCCATCTCTCTCTTTTTTGAGTATTTATTTGATTTTCATTCACTTCTTTGATTTCCACCCTGATCTGCTTTTGGTTTTCAAGTATCTCGGCTACTATTTTTTCGAGTTTGCTGTCGGGACCTATGTTCAGCTCGCGTTGGATCTTTTGAAGGCGTGCGCGTGCGGCGGTGCGAGCGTAAAGTTTTTGGTTACGCACACGAAAAATCTACAGTACCCTAGCCATAAAAAGCTTCGCTGTAAAAAGCTCGCCGTATACTATCTCTCCGGACATAAGCTCAGCGATTTTTAGATCCTGGATAACTTTGTTTACACACATAGCCACTCAGATCGTTTTTTCGCCTGCCTTTTTCGTTTAGATGTTGGCAATTTGTCTATTGCCTGCTTGCTAGCCCGCTAATTATTCGTGACTCCAGGAAAATCGAAGTCACCCAAAGACAAAGGAGATGCGTTTTGAAAGCAGGTCTCTCGCCGCGGTTGTATGCTCGTTCTGCTTCATCTTCGCGGAAAATATTGCTTTACGGAAAAAAAAAAAAAAAAAAAAAAAAGTCAGGTTCAGCGACATCGCAACAAAATGAGGAGAATCTCCTCCGGCCCTCCCCTGGCCGCGGAGAAATCGCGAAGAAAAAAGGGAACTAGTTCCCTTTCTTCCTGCAGCCGCTTGTGCCGGCCAAGTAAATACGCGCGTGACGTGAACTGAGTGAAAGAGTTAGAGTTCAATAAGTACCTGCTCAATTTGACGATACATTTTTTTTTGTTAATGTTGCCGTGAAAGCGGTGAACAGACGCGTCGAAAGACTCATATTCCTGACTTTTGTCACGCAGTTTTAGGGGCGCATCTACCCGAAGCAAAGAAAAGCGCTCCCTCCACACTTACCAAAGCCAGCGACAGAAAATCCGTCTCCGGGTAACCCCTTCAGGCCATTTTTCCGGCTGCAAACCGGAAAACAGTGCGGAGTTGAGCGGCGCGTCAAACTTAAATCTGTCTCACATTTTTTTTCTTTTTTCAACAAAAACTACGGCACTTAGTTAAAATTGTTTTCTGATCTTTAATGTCCAACGTCTCCCCTTGCACTAGGGGAGGACTGGTGAGGAGCTTTTCGCGACCCCCTTGCAATATGACGCGGCAGTTCTCGAGTGATTGGCCTTTTTGACCCGCATTGAATCTTTTGACTCGCGTCTGCCGAGTCAAGAGATACAACGCGTCGAAAGATTCATTGTTGGACCTTCTGACTCGTTGGACCTTTTGACTCGTTGGATCTCTTGACTCGCCGTTGATCTTTTGACTTGTTGGACCTCTTGACTCGGTGTGGATCTTTTGACTCGATGGATCTCTTGACTCGTTGGACCTCTTGACCCACATTGGATTTTTTGACTCGTGTCTGGCTAGTCAAAAGATCCAACGAGTCAAAAGATCCATTATTGGACCTTTTGACTCGTTGGATCTCTTGACCCAGAAGCGCCCCCCCCCCCCCCCTCTTCCCCCGAAAAAAGTGCCTTGCTATGCCAATGTGCCTGTGCTCTGGCAGGCTATAGCTCTTTATCGGCTTGTTCACATTAATGCCACTGGATCGTGGGAAAGTTGCGCCAAGCTCCCCATATGACCGCCATGTTGGTTCATGGAAAAAATAGTTTCTCTTTTACCTCTCCACTTGTGGTGAGCCGATCTAAATATGCTGGTGACGGGTATAGCTTTATAGAGACGTTTCTTGAATACCGAGATTTTGTTATCCACAGACCGGCGAAACAAGCGAACATATTCGCAACGCCACCACATGCGGCGCCGGCGTTCAGCGCCATTGAAAATAAATTTTCCTGTCTTTAACTACGCAGCAACAATATAATGGTAAGAAATCTAGTGGAGATAGGCATGCGTGATAAGTGGATTGCGTGCACAGCACCAAAGACTGTTATACTGGCGAGGAACGTTTTCAGTACGATAATTCTCCATATATCGATCATGGTGCGACTGGTTCAAAACGGCCCTTTCGAAGCTTCGAAAATTGGAATGGACAAAAATGGCGACTGCCATGTTAACCGAGACCGACCAGCCAATCAACCTTGCAAAGTTTGGTCGTCTTTATGCTAGTATCCGTTTGTGTCCGGCTAGCAGGCAGGGAAGGCAATGGCACTGGCTACTTTCCCACGATCCAGTCATTTCGTTCACATGTACCAGTGCAAACATTTTACTTCTGATGCGCATGACCACATCACCCAAAGACATACGCAGCCCTATGGCTAGTTTCCATCCGTGTCCAACATTTCGGTAACTGGTGAAATTCCTTAGTATACGTCGGGTTTCATCATGACGAAATTCTTTCTCTTTGCCCAGCGCACAACTCGTAGGTGTATTCCTCTACTAGATGCACCCACACACCCCAAAAAAGTACCAGGAATTTTTCCACTTTACTTCGATATGCTCCATTTTAAAGAGACTGCGATAGACCTTTAAAAAAACGTCACGTGTACTGGTTCACTAGACTGCTATAGGTTTTAATAACTCATTTCGGAAGAGACGATTATCTGACAGCAGTTATTGCTAAGGTCCTTGTGCTGAAGCTGGGATTAATCTCGATCAAAAAGAAACGTCTTACTAAGAAGTCGAGGTCCCAAGCAGCATTCGCATAAAAAAGCTTTTTTAAAAAGGGGAAAAATGCAGGCTCTATAACTGTACTTTGTTCGATTGATGTTCTGGGTAACATAGGTTGAAAACTGTCCCCTTCTTCGATTTCTCCAGATTCAAGTAAGGCATGAAAAACGTAGGCAGAAAGGGGAAAAAAGCTTTATTGCATCCTCCAGAAGTTCCAGTGAAGGCGCCATCAAATTCACCACAAAAGAGTTCGTCGGCTGGCCTGAAGTACATCATGACTTGCCAGAGCACCTTCATCATTCCAATTTCAAGAGAGCTTGTCGTTCATTTTCTGCCAACATCCCAAAGAAACGTTTCGGAGACGGGCACGGCTCCGGTTTGTACTCCCCCATGACGGCAAAGCCGTACACGTGGGGACTCAGCACAAAAGGCGCGGCCATGTATTCTTCGGCGAGTTCCAGCTGAGCGAAGCCCGCCTTGGCCAAGACGTCCCCCGTCCTTCTGGTCAGGTGGCAGCCACAAAAGACATGCGACCAGAGCGGATCCAGCAACCGCTGCACGGTAAAGCTCCAGCTCCCCTCCGGTTGTGCCACGTGCTCAAGAAACACGAGTCTGCCTCCCTGGAAGAGGCCACAGATATGTTTGGAAGTCGTCATTGGGGCGGGCCCGCCATGGGATATAAAATGCAATAGGCCTAAAACTATTACATCATCCTAGTTTAAATTTAAATTTTACATAGCGCGTGGGCGCCGAAATCATCCAGTCATTTACACAGGTATAAAAAAAAATGATAGGTATGGTCACAGAAAAGGTGAAAATGGCGAGGCGGAAGCTTCGGTTGTCCTGCCTCCAGCGCAAGATTCCTGTATACCTTCGATATGCTTCGGAGTCGTGCGCAGTCAAAGCACGGGCGCGCAGTCAAAGCACGGCGGAAGGCATGGAGCACGTGTTGGAGGCCGGGCGTTCGAAAGACACGCCTCGTTGTTTGCACTATCTTGGCGACTATAGTTCGCATGCCAGTCATAAACTATAATAAAAACTTGCATGGAGCTCGGGATGATGCGACTCAAATATCAGATTTAGCTCGCATTTTTGTTGTATATCCGACTTACTCACCAGTTATGTCGACGCACGAAAACAATTGATGTTAAAAAGTCACGCGATTAGACATTACACTACAGTATTAGCTGGTTTAAGTAGAGTATAGGACAAGGAGCGTTCGCGTTATCACAGTATATAAGATAAAACTATTTTATAGAAACATTCGTACACAGCACTTTCGTCCTGAAATGTGAAAAGTACACACATACTGGAAGGAACATATGTGACGTATTGATGTTACGGCTTGCACGTTTGTCAAGATTTTTTTTTTTTGTATTTAATCCTGCGCTTACAGCTTTACCGAGCTACAGAAAATGTTGCAAGAACGAAAAATTCGTTTACAAGTTATTTATATAAAAATACTGATTATAAGTTCCAAGATTAAATTTCTTTGAGGGGGAGGGGGAGGTTTAATTTAGATCGTGACTGAAATCTCAACTTGAACCTTCAGGTGATATTGAAATAGTAATATCAATCACCTGGGCCGGCTTTCTGGGGCATTTCCGAAGGGAGGACTGAGCGCGCACGACTTTGATAAGCTTTCAAGCAGGCACTCCCTTTGACTGCCTCAGAAAGTTGCTCCGAGATTGCTAGCGAGACTCTCGAAGGTCATGCTACATGAAAGAAAGCACTGCCCGAGAAAGCGCACAAGCCCTTTGGCAGGGTTTTCCTTCACACTCTTAGCTACCCACAAAAGTGTCTCGTTCCCATAGGTCCTTTGGCCCTCGGGCACGCGCTCTTTTTTCTCGGAGTGTCTGCTCTGAGCTTGACGGACCCTGACTCGAACGCCGCGCAAGACATCTTTCCGATTTAACGCGTTCATAAATCTTATTGCCGCCGTTGAGGCACGAAACTAGGGACGTTTAAGCAACACGCGTAGCGCAAGTGCCAAGTTCTACATGAAGTAATGCACCCAAAAAATGGCTTAAAAAAAAGTCTCCCTTAGATAAGCATGAAAAACCGGGCTGCCATTAGCCGCATATCGAGTGGCGCCGCTCATAACCAAGGCGAGGACTTTATCTGGCAGCTGCAACGCGCGTGATGTCCACCCTACACTGGGGCTAAGACGCTCCTTCTAGACACCTTTTCCAAAAGGGCGCAGCCATCTTGAATTTTGTCACTTCTGGTATGCGGTAAAACATCGTTTTTATCTCTCCACGCCGCTGGAGAGGTCAAAAGGAAAAAAGCGTGGTTGTCAAAGATTCTTGTTTCGCCTCACCTATATTTTCTCGCATATTCCAGGTTGAAATGTTTGGTTCTCTTTGTCCCGCATACCAGAACCGGAAACGACATGAGAACGATCGGAAACGGAAAACGTCTATAGACCCCTTTCCTAACAACCGCCACCAGGTGGTGCTCCAGTTTTGACATCCCAGAGAACTTGCGGTTTACAAAAAAGAATGAGCAGTGGCCACCTTTAAGCTAGAAGCCCTGCAACGGCTTTTCGACTGTTTTTTTTTATTTGCACCGAATCTGAGTGCACTGAACGTAGCAACTTAATGAAACTTTTTTTTTTTCTCGAATTTCGCTTTATTTTAAAAGTTATAGGTAAATTAAAATTACAAAAACAAGCAAAAAATAACCTCCTTCATAATGTCCTTGGTCCTGGCTTGAGTGGCCGTGAACTAGAGGAAGGGTAATGAGCTCAGCGGGCGCTCACGGCTGCCACACTCCGTGTCGACGGCTCGAGAGGGCGCCACTAAAGCATGCGCTGGATAGGCTGGATGAAGCTGGCGGCCAGGGCGGCTCGCATTGCATTTGCTGCGCGATTAAACACTAATTCGGCATGAGAATTCATTGGCCACAAACGACAGCGAACACGTGGTAAAGATCAGTTCAGAGTGGGAGCCACTTCGCGTTTGGCATACCGTTTGGCGGTATGCCAAACGGCCGAACCGCAAGCAGAACCTGCTCGCCGAAGGCCTTTGGAACGCTCGGAACCGGCCGGATCCTCGAGCCCATATGACCACAGCGCTGCCGCGTACATCCGGGACCTTTCTACGCTCGCCGCTCGTCAGCGCCTGATCCCACTACCTTTTTCAAGTATGCGCCGCCTTTTCCACCGCTTGGTAGAGGATATGTGGACGGGTCATTTTTTTTGTTTCCGTACTTTATAAACTGGATTTGTTTCTTTTCCGACCTAAAATACTGAACAAAAACTACTGTCATAAATAATTGAAACGGTTCGCGCCACTTATATGCTGTATTTCGACTAAAAAAAGCTTTTAGCGGCTCTGGCCAGTAGTGAGGCTAGGACCAAAAACGTCATGATGTCACATATCGCGAGCTTTCGGCACCGCGGGTCGCCCCCGTAGGTGGAGGAGGTTGCCGCTTCGTCCGGTTAAAATATGACTCGCCGATATTTAGTTACTCTCCGTGCTCGCTGGCTTGCCCGAATCCCAAGCTATGTGGAAACCGCAAAAAAAGGTAGACGCTTAAATTGGGTTGCAGGGCCCCTTTAACACCGCTGCTTGAAATGTAGATGAAACGTTTAACCACCAATTCTACAGGAGAACGCCAAAAGAACGTAGGAGTGCGAGATCTGTTAAAATATTTGGAGTATTCTTGCAACCCAACTTGCCTCCTACAAGATGTAATATTGTTCAGCCGAAGGCCCCCGTTAAATCTCTTTGTTGTCCGTGTAAAATTTATGCTTTTGAACACTGGTGACAGAAGCGAGCTCAACAGGCTGCGAAGACTGTGCGAGCAGAAGTCGCTTTGGACGCAAGCGGCAGTTCATGTTTGTAAACAAAAGGGTCTATTGGGCGACGTGCGCGATCGAAAGCGTCGCTGTGGTCGGCTTTCCTCGACTGGCCGAATACTGACTATGACGTAAGGAAAGGACTTATCATCGATGGAAATAAGAGGAATGTAAGAACTTTAATTTTGACGGTGTTGGCAGTGTTGCTTTGAGAGCGCAATGATTTCAAGCTCTCACCATGCTATTAACAAACACCATCGAACTTGTTGTTCGCAAGGTAATGACGTCACGAGAGGGAACCATAGGAGGGCGCCACCAAAACGTCTCGCCGCTAATACCCCGTTGGCGCTTAAGCTGCGACTAGAAGCTCCGCCTCTAGCGCGAGCTTTCTGCCCATGCTAACGCAAGTGTGAACGCGCTGGCACACGCACCAAAGCACTGGCGAAGCCTGCGAGCTCGCGCTGAAGGTGGAGCTTCTAGTCTCAGTGAGTCGCTTACAGGATAAGCGACAGGACGACTCTTTCAGGTGTCCCAACTTCCGCAATACATTGGTAGCGCGTGCACGCTCGAGACTCGAGAGACGTCGAAGAGTGACCGAAGGTTGGAAGCACGCGCTGGAGTCGGGCACCCGGAGGACCTCCATGTCGTTCTTAATCTGTCAGTGGCAATAATAGCAAGCCAGCCCCAATTTCTTGAGAACGTTAAGAAGCAATCACTAAACCGCCATACCGTACCTTTACCAGCACCCTCTTGCACTCGGCGAGGACCCTGTCCACGTCCGTCGTTGAGCAAAGGATGTAGGTTAGGAGGACGGCGTCCACGGAAGCGTCCGGAACGTCCGGCATGCACTCGCCGCACCTAGTAATCCAGCGCTCCAGTTTCACGTTGGAATTCTTTCTGAGGTTGACCTGAAAGGACTCCTCGAGCTCTTGCTGGTGTTCCACGTTGGAGTACCTGACCGGCCGCGTGATGTGCTCGAAGTTGACGCCGAAGCCAGCGCCGATCTCCAAGACACTGATGGCGTCCTCTTCCTTGAGCGCATCGTCTTGGGACACGAGGTCGTTCAGCTGGGAGACCGCTCGCCGACGGATGTCGTTGAATCGGTCTCGACACAGGTGGTTGAGTACGGGGAGAAAGAAGCGGGCAAAATACGCCGAGCGTAACTCCTGGCTGAGTTTCAACGGCACCAGGAGCAGAAGACCGAGGGCCAGAGACGCGTACAGGAACAAGTTCGCTGCGAAGTTCGTGAGCAGGCCCATGGTTCTGCCACGGAATGTTGCTGTTTCCAGAAAGACGGCCGGCAGAAAACTCGATTTTCGATCGCATGTATCTTTATATCAACAAGAAAACGACTTATCTGTGCCCATGGCCACGACGCATGCGCTGCTGGTTACATTGACTGATATACGGTAGTTACGATGACTGTGTAATTCGATAATTGAACATCGCGGGGTAGCAGCATGCTCGCTTTCTTACCCCGATAAAACGACTAGCCGTAAAATGCACAAAAAAAAAAAAAAGAAGGAAGAAAGAAGAAGCTGCCTAGAGCGTTTTGGAAGCTTTCATTCTTTGCACACACTTTGCCCGCTGTCATCAGGCTCCAGCACTAACTGTGCACGCCGAACACTCGACAAGTGAATGCTATCGCGACAAGGAAAAATAAAGGGCCACTGCTTGATTGTCGCCGCAGGGCTTTTCATTATCACACACTTAGCGGATTCTGCAATGCTGCTTGGTTCGGCGCTATCTAGCAACTAAAGCGAGACACATCGTGTATGCCTGGAAGTTGCGGATGCGTGGTTCGAAGGTTCAAACGTGAACTGTTACTTTGGTGGCGTTGCTTAACCTAGTGTCTGAATCGGGAAATACTGAGTAGGTCAGGAAGCCGTGGGCGTAACGGATTTTATTTCGCACGTATCATATTCAACGTTCATTGAATAAAAGAGCTATTATTTCGCACATATAATATTCAACGTTTCTCGAATAAAAGAGCTAAATTCGAGCTTTCCAGTGATATCGAGGTAATTAAAATATTGTAAATAGGTCAGACGTGGGTCATTCCATGCCAAAAGAGACGCGGCAAATATTTCATGTCTGGGATATGTACGAACAAATTAATTTGGATAAGAAAGCCCCTAACTCATAAAAAAGTATTTTTGTGCGAAAAATAAATTTTATTTCTGCTGATATATCATGCTTCGAATTTCTGCGATTCGCATAAAACTCATGTAATACTATAATATAACATTGCGAGAAAAAAAAACGGTAAGGATAACGACGGCGTTATCCTTGCTTTCATGCATCCGTATCCTCTTTACGTTAGGTAATGATGGCGCCTTAATTTTACTCTACTTCTGCCCAGGTAACTGCCGAAGAACGCAGGTCTGCATCGTCTGCTTCCCGACTTTTGGAATGTATACCTCGCGTCGGCCTGGCCTGTCGTATGTAGAGATATAAAAACAACACAGGCCAAATTGTTCTTCACCGATGCAAAATGATAACAGTGACGCCGCTTTCCCATTGAACTTAAATGCATTTTGATTGAACTAATGTGCATTCAAGTTCATTCGCGCATCCACCAAGGACGCGCTGCCGAGATAGTGGCGACGTCATGCAAACGACTACGTTACTCTTCTAAGCGTCATTGTGGGCAGGGCTTGTGGCAATGTTTACACGCGCAATATTGAAATCGGGAGTAAAATCGCGGAAACTGATCGATGAATACCTAAGAAGCTATTACCTTTTCGCAAAATATATTTATTGTTCAAGCCCCTGATACTAATTGGCGTCAATACTGAAATGGAAAAATGAGCCATGAAACCGTTATTAAATTTTAATTAACAATTTGTTTAATGAACCGACTCACCATGACGGTTTTTACCTCATCTAATGTCTGCCGAGCCTGGCACTCAGATGGCGAAGACGCCACTCGTGTAACTCCCCCCTCTTATCAAACACACTTCCTCTAAAATTACTAGTAATTTGAGATTTCGAAACATGTTCTGCTGGCCTCTGTGTATTCTGGAGTTTAACAGCACATGAACGGAACCTCAGAGGTGTGAGGCGTCCGCCACAAAGAGTGAAATGCTTTTTCCCCCATCACACTGCTTTTTGTAGCACTACATATTCTATCGAAATACATTTATGTTCAATAGAGAAGCGGCATCACCATTATCATTTCACATCGGTAAAGAGCTATCTTGTCTGAATTGTTTTTATATCTGAACCAACGAAAGACGATGTCGGCGCGCAGTACGCATTCCAAAACTCGGGAAACAGACGATGCAGGCCTGCGTTCGTCGGCAGTTATACCTGGGCAGAAGTAGAGTAAAATTTCGATGCATGGAAGTCAGGATAACATCTGCATCAAGTGAATAAAACGTGTTTTCAGGAGAGCGGGGAAGACCTTGCGGCGGCGTCTGTCTCAGACGCGTTGACGCCTCGCTGGCGAACGCCGGCGTGCGTCGCCTACGAGGCGGGCGCCTGGAGGCACAGGCCGCAGAGACTCTTCTTTAATAGAAGCATTCTCTCAGAAACAACATAAAGTACTGATATAATTTTTTGATACGTCAAACAGATGAGATAGATTGAACTTTTTTTTTATTTCGAAAGTTGCGGGCACCGCTGCCCAGAATGCTTTTTTCTGGCTCTCAATATGGCCATTTCTGCATAAATTTGCAAATTCGTCATTTAATTAAAAGGCAACACCCAAAACTTTGAAAATTTAATAGAAGTAAATATATTCTCCGTTTTAAGAGAGCAAAAAAAAAGTATTGTAGCTAACATCCAACTCAAAGTTGACTTGAAAAATTAATAAATCACCATTTTGGTCCATGTGGGACCAAAATGGCGTGTTTCAATGTTTGTATTTTAGCCTAAGATATTATTAACTATTTAGGCGCCCGAATAAAGATTTCTGGTACGCAACTGTTTTTTTTTACAGTGTTTTTTTTTTAACAACATAGGTTTTATGCAAATTCCAGAAATTTAGAGCGTAATAACAGGAGAAACGAAATTCATTAAAGAACATTTTGTTGTGGGTTTAGAGGCTTTTTTTAGCCAATTTAGTTTTTTATTGCATATCTCAGACATGAGAAAATCACCGGGTCTCCTTTGGCATGAAATGACCCACGTAAGAACTTGCCAAATGTAGCCAAAAATAATTAAAAAAACAAAAAACAAAACACAAAGTTTGACATTTTTAAATATATTTTTTTTTAATTTTGTTTTTCTTCTAAGTTTTATTGGAATAAATAATACGTGTTTCGAGAGTTTCACAAAAGTGTCCTAGTGGATTATATTGAGAAGTGACAAAGTAACGAGTGGTGCAAACAACTACCCACCAGGTGGGAACAAAAAAGTCAGTTTTCGAAATACGCGAACCCGAAAACGACAAATTAATCAAGCTTGCCATTCGAGTTCTCTTTCATTTCAAAAAGTCTCCCAAAACATATATATATTTTTAGTAACAATTAAAATTTCGATTCCTTAGTCACGCCTTAACTGAGATGAAAACACACATATACACGTTCTTAAATGATCTTGTATGTTCTCATATGTTTATCGGACACATTAATATATTTGTTTTACTCAGACATGTATGAATTACTCAAAAAAGAAAGTTAAGTTACTGATTATCAACGCCAAAAGTAATTAGAGTAGAGTAGAAATTACGCATTTGTAATAGTAATTGAGTAAACTACTAACTACCGGAAAAAGTAGCGAGTTACTTTTGAAGTTACTTTCGAAGTTACTTTTTATATTTTTGTGGTAGCAAAATGAAGAGCAGTTATGATCCATGAAAAACCCTGCGAGCTTAAAATAAATGCAGCTCATTTTAATGGCTTGTGTTTTCCCAAAAATAGTTAATTCGCTCACAGTAGCAATTGACTTTCGAAGTTCTTATCGGAGAGTTTTTTTTTATTCCTCCTAAAGACGTTCCAGCCAAGCTAAAAAGACGTTCCACCGCGGCGCTGGATCGAAAGAAACAGGCTGTGCAGAGTCGGGTGCTCGAGTGTCGGCATCTTGGGTGTCCATGACGAAACATGTGAGGTTCGCCCCGGCCCCCTAGAGGTTCTTTTATAACAAACTCTCCTCCTTTTTTCTTCAGCATGATGAGATTGTTACGTCTGGCCCCTCTTTATTCCCACGACGTTCGGAGAATACGCTGAGCGAGTGTACCTGACCATCAAGGGTTCAAGCCTTGCGCCGCGACGATGAGATCATCTGGACGACTGTGCGCCGCGACAAATTTTCTTGGCAATGCAGTGGAAGGTACTACAGGCCCGCGTCCCCTCTCCCATTTTGAGTGTGCGCGGGTTCTCCTCCTCTCCCCGGAAATGGGGGAGGAGGAGAGCCTGCGTACACTCAAAATGGGAGAGGGGACGCGGCCTGTACCTTCCACTGCATTGCCAAGAAAAGTTGTCGCGGAGTATAGTGCTATGCTACTGAAAAAATAATTTTTTTGGCTTAACAGAATATGAAACGAAGTATACTTCGTCGCTGACGCTGGGTCCAACAAAACGATCTCGCAAGGATGATTCGCAATCCTCGCCGGCGACTACGGTATCCTGACGTGACGTACCTGACACGTCTCGCAAGTAAACCGTTTTCAACAAAGAGGAGGTCTCCCTGGCGTGGAAGGTCAGAAGGAAGCGAAGGATTACGTAAACAAGCATCGGCGCTCGTGCAGTTGCAGCCGGGAGCGGGAACGTGCTCTTATGAACGAATTATCTGTGTCCGCGTTAGTGCGTGGGGAGTCCGGCTTTGCAAGGGAGTATGCGCTGACGACGAGGCGACCATGGGAACAGGCGCCCAGCTGCGAGGTCATTCCAGTGGCGCCTCCCGTAGAACCTACCGTTTGAGTCAGAACGCACTAAAGGCAGACTACATGAAAACAACAACACTCAGAGTGTCCCCGTCTTTCCCGATTGCAGCTAAAGGCACGGCGCCTGCGTGCATTACCGGATTAGGTCAATACCCGACCCAGGCTTGTTAAGCATCCCTGCCTGCGTTCGTACGCGCCGGAGTTTTGCTTCGGCCGCTCGTCACCACCTTGGCCCAAGGATGCCTTTGATGCAGTTTCTACCGCTGCCAAGTTCAAGTGCGTGGGAACGGAATGTGAGGGCCCCCTATTCGGGAATGCCACTTTATCTGCCGACGTCTTATTTATTTCTGCGCTCAAACTTTTTTGATGAGCAAAATTAGCACTAGATTTCGAAAGCAGTTAGTAATTCGAGTAGAAGTTACCTGAAAAACGTAATTAAATTAAATTACCAATTACCCAAATAAAGTTGTAATCGAAAGTTACAGAGTTAATCAGAAAAGTAGTTAAACTATAGTAGTTTGAGTAGAGTAGTTGAACTACGTCCAAGTCTGGTTTTACTAGGGGTCTTAATTCATATAGCGTCATGAATTAAGTCATATAGCGTCATGTGAATCACAAATCGCAATCCCATTTAACATAACAGCTCGCTGCGTATGTCTGAATCGACCTTACTTCCAAAAACGTTCTAAATTTTTTTTATTTTGTTTTTGAAGAGGGGCGGAGTTAAACGTGCAACCCCTGCCTGGCCGGAAAGCTGCGAGACGGAAACTGACGCTCCTCCAGCAAGTCAGGGCTCGAGTGTTTAACAAATCCAGTCCTTCTGCAATAGGGATTTTTCAGAACATCTTTCAGAATAAGTCTCGTTATGTGAAGAGAAATTGGTAACAAAACGTGAAACCGTGTCTCACTAAAAAAAAAAAAAAAAAAAAAAAAAAAACTCATCCAGTTTTAATGTGTATGTGTTTCTTTTTTTAAAAAGGAAAAGTGTTCGTGCACGTTAAAAAACAGCAGTTTTTAAAAAAATTTTGAAATATGCAATCTTAACCAGCATTTTCCGGACTCTAGCCCTATAAATGACTGATAAAAAAAACTAAAATATATTGCCGTAAAATGAACAAAGAAAACAAATACGTATAAAAAGAAATTATTTTGAACTTGCAAGAGTTTCAAAACAGTCGCGCATCCACAAGCATGTGGCACTCTTAATCTATGAGATAATTGTGGCATTTATAGTCATTAAACGAGCTAACTCTTACCTTCGAGGATATGTTCTTTTTTTTTTTTTATGCAGAAAGCCCAATTAGGCTCTACCAAACACCGCCTAAAAGACGAAGTTTGAATTTTATTTTTATAGAGGCATGTTTAAAGGTTTAATGAACCCTTCAATTTTGATCAAACCCAATAATCTCCTCTTCGAGGGTCTCTCAGAAATTGGGAAAGCAGCAAAACACGGGATCCCCATCAGGGAGGGAATAAGCCCGTTTGCTCCTCGTCCGCCCCAGCGCTTCTTAACTTGAAAACGAACAATCTGTCAGGCTTACAATTTGGGGTATCTTTCATCTCATAATTATGACCCCAAAACATTTTTTGGTAAAAATTAAGAAGTACTACACCTTATTACCAAGCCAGATTTTAGACAAAATTACTCAATATAGGAGATTAAGCCAATCTTAAATATTTTGCTCAAAATTTAATAAACGAAAGTTCTACACGTCTGTGCTATTTTCCCGCCAGTTGCACCTCTTCATCGAGCCGGAAATGTTTTTACATTGCCTCCTCGAGCGAATCATGACTGACGCTGACAAGTGCAGCTATTTAATCCATCTCTCGGCAATGTTTTATTACGATGCCTCTAAATGCTGCAATGGACTCTTGAGTCACCACTGGGTGTACGTGCCTGAACCGATCGAAGAAAGTTGGTCATAAAACTTGCGCCATTTTGGAACTTTCTAGTTCATTCGTACACTTGATGGAGCGACAGGCAAGGATCATCATACTGCAACTTTATTTGACGATGCATTTTAAGGGTTTCCACTCCATCGCAACCTTAAAAAAAAAAAAAAAAAAAAACGGATGACAGAACGTTGCTCCTTTTTGGTGCATGCCTCAAGTGGGGCGGCCATTTTACGCGGCAAGCGTTACATCATTTTGGTTATCTGCACTGTGCCTCCCACTGATGAACAATTTTTTTTATAAATAGTAAAAATGCTGGCAACTTATAGGACAATGGCGCCATATTTCGAAAGGTTATTGCATCGTTAAGGTTTTTATTTGACTCACCCTCGTATTTCAAGCTTGTTTAACGAGATACAGGTATCACAGAACCCCTGATAAACGACCCTCTCTATACTACCGATCACTTCCGCCGAAAGCTCCCATCACGCAGCTTTTTTCTCAAAATTAATTGAACGAAAGTGCTACACGGCGGCGCTGAAACTCGGTCCTTCGTTTGTGCGGCGCGGGCAGTGCACGCAGCATATCGCGCTTCGATTAAGCTGGTATAGATATTGTCGGTCGCGTATTTACTTGCGAATTCAATGGCCAGATGTGCGTTCACTGAACACGGTTTATCGGCATGGTTTTCTGTGCCCAGTGTGGCAATTACAATGTCGAATTTGGGCAACAAATTAAAATGACATACGCCTAAGTCCCCACCCCTTTGCAAGTCGCGCGATGCGACTTCGACAAGAGTTGTATTCCATGAATTCTCAGCAGTTACTTATGACCCCCCCCCCCCCCCCCCCGCGCTTTTTTAACATACCTCAAGCTGAGTCGTACACCGTCAGAAATATATTGGCATAACGACGTGAGTCGTTTTGCTAATCAAATTTATTGACAAGACATTAGTAGAGCAAGTAGGGCGTTTATGGGCAAGACGTCAGTAGAGCAAACCCGTTTGCTCGACTGACGTCTAATTTCTGGTCAGCTCTGATAGTAGAGCACTCCACTGGAAATGAAGAGGTCCCTGATTCAATACCAGGACCAGGCGGTTTTTTATTTTTTTTTTCAGTCGCGCATCAGCCATTTAGTTGTGTTTGAAGATTTATGTTTGTCCTTTTTCCCCTTGCTCCCCTTTTACGGGGATTCTTATCGTTATTATTGTACAGCTCCCTTGCACCTTTGCATTAATTGCGTTATAATCATAATCTTAAAAATGACGGCAGTTCACCCTCGTTGGTGTTAGACTGGTGGCAGCTGTTAAAACCCGTTTGCTCTACTAACGTCTAACTCCTGGTTAGCTCACTTGGTGTAGCGCTCCACTGGAAATGGAGAGGCCCCTGGTTCAATACCAGGACCAGGCGGGGTTTTTTTTTTTTCAGTTGCGCACCAGTCACCTATAGCATTGTTTGGAGATTTATGTTTGTCCTCTGTCTTTCTTGTTCCCCTTCTCCCGAGATTATTATTACAAGTTTCAGGCGCACGGACTACAGCGGGAGCAGGCTCTCCCATAGGGATCGCTCAGATGACGCGGTCGTTAGTATAGACCAATACGCGGCTCTGACGTCGCACCCCTGCGGTGGCACTGCTGTCGCCACAGCGCATGCGCAGAAGCTTCACTTCACGCGAATCTGGCTTGTGCGCTCGCGCAGTGCCCACACCTGGTGTGGGCAAACGCGGGCTTGTTTGGAAACAGCGTGTCGGTCTATAGAGAAGGTCGTGGCCTGATCTCGGCGTTTCTTCAAGACTTTCTGGAAACTATAAATATGGAATCTTAAAATTTCAAAAGAAGTTGCCTTTTAATTTGCACCTTGCTAAACACAACTGAAAATTCTAGTAACCCGTGTCATGAAGTGCACGTTACGTCAATTAAGATTTGACGATTACGGAATTATTCATCGTTTAGCGTTCAAAACTTTTATTGTCTTTTGCGATACACGAACGCTCTAAAACAATTGTGCACGAAGAAGCTGTTGGAATTGACCGAGTATCCTCGACAGAGAAAGACGTCTGCCGTACTGTCATCAAAACCAGTAGTGTGACGTAATCTGCCCTCTAAAGCACGGGACACATGAGCGATGAAAACGGGCGCCGCGCGACAGTAGCCATAGCAACCGGCGCTGGAGTCCCTACATTACTTCCGCTGGGCGCCTGGTCGCTCGAATCTGGTCGAGACAGATAATGCCGCGCGGTGCGCCTGTGGTGCACCTATAGTGACGAGCGGCGAGTGCCGCGGGGCACCCAGTTTCACCACTCGTGTGTCCCACGCTAAAATCACCAACTTATATCTCCGTCTGACGGGAGCATGATATGTCATTTACGTCAAGTGACATTCTGTGTAAACCCAAGTTAGGCAGTCCCACAAGGTAACTCAAATGTCATTTGGGTTGTCTGGAATGTATTTATTCTATATGCTACTTGAGTTGCCGTGCGGCACTGACTAAATGGCATTTACACTGAATGCCATTTGGCATGGATGACATTTTAGGTGCCCGTCTGATAGAGGTATTAGGTAGTAGATTAACCTAATGCCCTTCTATGCTGGAAGTCATAAGCATTGTAATCAGCTTTCCTCTTTGCGAACACCCTCACCCTCAAATATTTTTTCCCTTTCCGGTTGACGACGTCATTCTTCAGCGAGCCCAAGTTAATCCGTTAGAATCAGGTGCGTAAAATATAAACATATCCGCTGCACAGGTCTTGCTCAAAATAAAGATAATCCTGGCTTCAAGTTTCATTAGTCCATTTTGTGTTGCAACTTGTCCACCACTTCGGATAAATGTTAATCCATTTACAAAAAGAAGAATGAGAGAAGCACGCAACAAACTATATGTATGGAAATCACCGGACTTCAGTGATGTTCTAAAAATATGTGCAAACAAAAAATTCTTTAGCTGTTCCTCCCCGAATACATATTTCGTGTCCCTCATATATCCACACCCCCCACATGGTCGCAGTATTCAACAAGAGTTGAACAAGTTTGCCTGATTGCTGCTTCATTCAAAACGCCTACCCTGCATTTATTGCTCGCTTCGGAGCCGTGCTTTTTTTTTTTTTTTTTTGCGTGACCATCCGTCTAATTGTCATACGTCCGCACAATAACAGTAGCTACCGAGAAGACGTTCGAATTGTGTTAAATCATCTAAGAACGTGTCCTTTCAAATAAAACTGTCCAGGACACAAGAATCATGCACAAATAAAATCACGTTTATTAAAATATGGAACATAAATTGAAGGCCCGAAGACAGCTGCACGATGATTCATTGATGTTCTGGTCAAGAACGAAAATAAGTTAATAACAGTGATTTTGTGAATCTCTCAAAATAAAACTATAAAAAAGCATGATTTTAGAGGCAATATTCGGAAGTTCTAGGGAAAACGTCATCAGATATACTACAAATAAAAATTTGTCGTCTTGTGGCTCGCAAAAAAACATTCATTCTTATACTTCAGCAGGACTTCGCATTCATTTTCTGCCAATATTCCATCATTATTCAGCAGTCTTCAGCAAAAGGACCCGGACTGGGCCCTATGGAGGCAAAGCCATACACGTGGGGACTCAACACCGCAGGCACTGGCAGGAATTCATGGGCAAGTTCCAGCTGAGCGAAGCCAGCCTTGGCCAGGACGTCCCCAGTTCTCCTGGTGAGGTAGCAGCCGCCGAAGACGACCGACCACAGCGGATCCAGCAGCCGCTGCAGGATGAAGCCCCAGCTCGCCTCGGGGTGTGCCACGTGCTCCAGAAACACGAGCCTGCCTCCCTGGGAGAGGACGCCAAAGATGCTTTCGAACACTGCCTTTGTTGCATATGTTTAGGGACTCTTCATTTGATACAATTTATTGTTACCGAGAATCCCGGTGGATTAGATAATGAAAGTCCGAACACAACTTATGGGGAATTCCTTTGATGGATTTGGAGCGGCATAAAAGCTGACGGGTTAGAGCTCAGCTATTGCTGGGTCATGCTTACAGATAAAACCAGCTGAACGTTTATTTATATTTTGGTGTACTGCCTGTAACCGACCAGGTAAGAACACCTTGTTCTCAAAATGTACTATCGGGTTCAAATGAAATGCGAACAGCGGAGCGCGTGGCCGTAGGTACATGCTGCGCCTCCTGGAGGCCTCTGGAACTGATAAAACTGCAGGTTGGTAAGTGGCGTGCTGCGAGGGTGTGCATCCTACTCCGATGTGTTTGACCCTCGCTCAACTCAACCGAAGCTTCGACATTGGGCCGATGGTGTGCCGGCAGTTCCGTCACAGTCACTCTCGTTGGCTCGACACGAGCAGTGCGAGGAAGCTAGCCGCTTGCAGCTGGAGGAGGCTGGTTGTGCGCGCGTCCGTGGAGCATAATCGCAGCGTCGCGCTCTCTACTAAGATGCGCAGTTTTTAAAAAAAAATTTATGCATCTTTTTATACACACTACTTTGCAGGAGGCATGCGCTCTCGGTCCTCCACGAGGACATCTGCGTGGTTCTGATAACTAATGTCAAGCTCCACAGGTCTTCCGTGCACGAACGAAGTGCTTTAACTACTATTTCGCACTTCTGACACACGGAGTGATCATTTAATGGCCGCGCTGAACGAGACTCTGGCTACCTGGAAAATGTGGAGTATTAATAGGGACTTTTAGCAAACCGTTACCGTGTTCCGCGTACCGCACAACTGGAGCCTTTGAAGCATGCTTTCAAAGGAGCTCTGCAACAATTTCAGTGCTTCGCTTAAATAATTTGGGAGTTGGCGCCTCGACCTGTCTGAAGTAAAGAACAAAAACCGCGTCTGCCTGCGTGTCCTAGTTTTCATTTTAAAAATGGACAAAGAGTGAGGTTTTCGGCGCCTCTCAACTCCTTCACCATCTTCCGAGCCACGTGTGCTGTGACATCAATGGGGGTCGCGCGGGGTTCCGGTGAAGCTCTCTCTCTAGAGCCATTAGTGAGCAGCGAGAACTCATCCGCTCGCGACCGCGTGACCACGTGCTGGCGCAGCGGAAACAATATGGTGAAATGAGGAAAGTCTCATCCGGGTCCGGCCCCCTCCCTCCCCCTCCGGCTTGTGGCGGCTGTTCGCGGTAGCAGATAGAGCTGACGGTCTTGTGGACCTAGGATAGATGGCGCCGCTAAAACTCCGTATAATAAAAGCTTTGTCGGTGATACCAGGTTATTGACGCATTTATATATATGTTATAACGACAAGATTTATAAAAAAGTTACCTTTTATTGAGCAGGTATTTGCACAACTTGCTATCTTTCTACAAGACCCCCATTGACGTCATGCCGCGTGGTTCTGATGGCCGCCGCTCGCGGCTGAAGGTCGGGGAATATTCTAATTTTTGCCTCGCGATTACGCGGCGGAATCGCAACATTTCGAAGGAAGGGGATGTGTTTTCTGTCCTTTGTTAGAAGATAAACTATGCCAAAAGTAGAAGATACCAATTAGTTCAGCGTTAAAAGGTTGGCACAGCGTTTTAAGCGCGCGCCCGGGTGATAACATGCGATTGTTTGGGTGTTAAACCATAGCCGAACCGAAAACAGGAAGAGAGCCGTTATTTTTAGCCGAACCGGAATTGAACCGAACCTAAATCTTCGACGCCATATTGGAGCCGAACCGCAACTGAACCGGAAAAAATATAACGGTAACCGGTTCAAAACGGTTCTCCGTTATTATTTTTCTTTTTTGTTAGCATAAAAAGAAAGAATATATAAGAAACGAAAATTGGCAGCTGCATTCCTATGGATTGATCAAATTCTCATATACAAAATTGCAATGGATGAGAAACTGTGGTGTTTCGCGGCGCTTTTGTATTGGCTCTATCATTAATTTTGGGTCACTGGGTCACGTGACGTCATGTTGTAAACACATGCCGTCACCTAATTTTATGTCAGGTTGCCCCGTGACTCACTGTGTTAAGCCGATCTCACAAGATTTATTACCGTTGTTGACGCCGTGACGTCACACGACATCACGACATGAACAAACGTTACTTGATTAGTTCAATTAGGGAACTTCCCATTGGCGCTGCTTGCACGAGTTGTACCCCCCTCTCCTCCCACAGTTCGCCTCCCGTCGTTGGACGAGCCACCGATTTGAGTATGGATGCTATGGTAACTGCAGTTAATTTTATGGAATGCATGTTTTGATGCACAACGTCTAGATGGTGTTTTACCGTACTCTATGGAATGCACAGTATTGCAACGATAATCTAGATAGCGCTTGTGTGAAACTCACCCCACGCGACAGTTCCACGACTGACCTAATCTGGTAACGTTCCTTCACAGCGCGAGTCACGTGACACCGTGGCGTACTCGGTTGTCATGAGCCCGAGTCGGACGCTCGGGTCCATTACAACCAGCGTCGCCAAATATTTGGGTAATGGCTCGTGATCAATCAGAGTGTAGAATGACCGAACTCTAACGATGTTTGCTCACCTATGCTTTATGCTTTGCAAACCCCAGCACATGACTATGATGAACACTGGCGGTATATAATTAGCGTCAGATCACGTGGCCGCCTGCTCTAATTGCGGAGGGGAAAGCATTTTTCTTTCCGCGTCTGCCTTTGCACGGAGAGGAAAACTAATGGGTATTTTTGCATGTTATAAACGTCAGAAATTAGTTCTTAGTGGCATTTACTGAAAGTACAAAAACTGTTGCACGGCCCATTTTATATGTACACTTCATTGAGGTACTTAAATATGTTTCCGTTGTTGCTGAACTGCCACAGAAAATTGTTCGAGAATAAAATCATTGAAAGGACTAAATGTAACTGACTAATCTGACGTTGCATAGCACTACAAGTTCCAACCCCAGCACATGACTATGATGAACACCGACGGTATATAATTAACGTTGAATCACGTAGCCGCCTCTTTTAATTGCGGTGGCAAAGGTTTTTTTTTCCCCTTAATATTGTCTGCGTCTGTTATTCCACGGAGAGCAAAGCAAATGGGTGTTTTTGCAAGTTATCAACGTCAGGAATTAGTTCTTAGCGGCATTTCCTGAAAGTAGAAATACTGTTGTACGGCCCATTTTACATGTGCACTTCATTTAGGCACCCTTACATGTGTTTTTTGTTGCTTAACTGCCCCAGAAAGTTTTTCCCGAGAATAGAAGTATTGAAAGGACTATATGTGACTTACTACTTCGACGTTACAAATGACTACAAGTGTGTATAGGAGGGGTACCTGAAGAGGAAGATCCTTGTGGCCCCAGAGGGACCGCTCCAAGCCTCACAAAAGTGTCGTCCTCAAGTTCTCCACCAAGCTTCTACCACACCTGTATTTTGTTTTAAATTCACCGTTTCTGGGTGCGAAATAAATGCTATGGAGGATTACTGTTAACAAGTGACACAAATATAATTGTAAACTTAACACTCCCAAACAGAGGGGAAAAAAAAAGTATCTGAAGGAGCAACAAAAAAATAAAATAAAAAAGGGGAAGGCGGAAAGAGTTAAAGGCAGAGGAACCTTTACAGCACATACCGTGTTGTAAAGGTTCCTCCGACCCGCATTTTCGGCAAAGATAAACAAACGGGACTCCGGGAACTACCTTGTTTACAAGAACACTCTCGCCAGAAACCGCATTTTCGTGGCGCCAGACGCTCGCTCCGGTCTTCACGGCGCTGCACCAAGCGAGAATAATTTTCAACTCTCAAATGCATAGCTTGCACCGACTGCGAACCTTCTGCAGCGTGCATTTTTTACCAGCGAATTTGATTTTCTCAGCAAGAACAAGTAGCAATGGCCAAAAGCATATAGTGCATTGACGTCACGTGCAAACCATAGTGATGTTCGCAACACTAAAAAAGTAGGCGTACACATTGTAAATTTGTGCAGTATATATAGCAGTTTCGAGATGTTATGCGTCAGCCTAATAAAATGTTGGGGCGCATGAGTGATCTGATAAAGCACAGAGTCGTAAATTGAGGGTCGAAAACAAGTTCACCTAAAACCGAATATAACATCAGCCTTTAGAGGAAGTAAACTATTTCGCAAAGTTTCGAGTTCGTTCAAGCTGATGCCTAAATGTGAACTATGTTAGGAATATAAGAACCTTCGTATGGCCGTGCCATTTATGTATAACTAGGAATATCATTACATTTCTACGTATTTCTTTTTGTGGCATCGTTTATCGAATTCTTTTGAAGGATACTATTTATTATCTTTGTCTTTCTGGAGATTTCGTGTAGTTGCCTTCAGATCTGTCATGTGTGCAGCAAGTCGTTTTTTACATACCCCGGGACCTGGTGTTTCACACTGCCCAACCGCAAACGAAAAGCACGTTTCCGCAGATCGGCTCAAAAGCTGGCATATTATCGAATATCGTCCTTCCGTGGCGGTTCTAAGCGGTTATGTGAAATTCGCACAGACAAATTCATTGATGATGATGAAAATATATTTGATGGTCTGCAAATATTTTTCGACGATCTTATTGTCGATGAGCGCGTGCATAAAGGATTTGGGACAGCCCTTAAACACATGTTTTTCTTAGATTTTGAAGCTGGTTTAGGGAACTATGCGTTCTTGACACAGGTATAACTTCTAAATGGGAACGCGACAAAACAGCACGGCGTCAAAACAGCATGGCGTCAAAACAGCATGGCGTCAAAACAGCATGGCGTCAAAACAGCATGGCGTCAAAACAGCACGGCGTCAAAACAGCACGGCGTCAAAACAGCACGGCGTCAAAACAGCACGGCGTCAAAACAGCACGGCGTCAAAACAGCACGGCGTCAAAAAAACACGTAAGTAAGTGCGTGCTGGTTTT